AAAAATAAAGGAAGAGGACAGTGAGTGCAAGAAGTGAAACCACAAAACTATAAAGATGCTTTTACTTACAGAAAAAACACAAATATTTTTTGGTAAACCAACAAGTTAAAAAAAAAAAAAGCCCTAAGCCCACCACTTTTTAACCTAAAGTAGAAAAGATGGAGTAAATAGATGGAGTCAAGGGAAACATTGCTTGTTACAATGGAAAATGCGTTTACCATCATCTTATTTGAGCCTCTTCCTGCACTTAGGAGAATAAAAGCAGAGGCCTGTACTGAGATGGGTTTTAATGAAAGAATCAGGTGTTAGCTTTTAAGCCTTTCAAGTGTCATACTTGGACAACCACAAACTAATAATAGCAATTAGTGACACATCCTTTAACATTTTGTCTGTCATTATCAAAAATAGCTTGGCTTGTACCAATACCAACATGGGAAGCCACAAGCTGTAAACCATGGCAGGGGTAGGACAAAAATGCTGATGCTCAATAACTGATTGATGTAGGTGTACCTGTCAGGTATGGCAAAAATTTTCGTTTTGATGATATTGAGAATTGAATGTCAAAATGTTTGGATCAAAATCTTGCTATTTCTTTCTTCATTCCAGGAGTGCATTAATACGAAACCCTCAGCATCTATTACCAGGTTTCCATCATCTTATTTTCAGGAGCAGTGGTTGGTTATCCTTAAGTACTGAATTATTTAAACTGATCGAATTGTGCCTTTCTGGTCTAACATGAAGCTGAGATTTTACAGTCTGTCTCTTTTTAGCCAAAGTTACTATCCATGCTTGGAATTTAAATTATGGTTTATAATTCCCTACCTAGAAGGGAAGCAAAGATGGAGAGAGGATGTGGGAGAGGTGAGTGTGTGGCATACTCACTGATAGCAAAACATACTGGTAGCAAAACATTTTGATATATATATATATGTATATATATGTGCTTTATAAAACATTTTCTCTGGTGTTTTTAAGCACTCTGAATATGTGCTCAAAATAACAGATACTAAATTGTTCCATAATGGACATATCCATCCCACTCACCCCCCACCCATTTAGGAGGTTTGTCTAGCAACTGAAATGCCTTTTATTTTAGAAACCTTTTGCAAAGTTTTAACACTGTTTTTGGTATTACTTTCACATCCTTCATTTGAAAGCCAGATATTCTGGATCACTTTTGTACGACTGGGTAGGTGGCAGGGGAACAGAGACTGTACAACTAGCAGAATTTCTGATCTACTCAAATGACTTAAATAGCTTTTTCCTTTAAGGTAAGTTATTGAAGTGTTAAAATGAAACAGCTTGCATCTTATTAACAGAGACTGCATACTGCTTGGAATAATTTTGTCTTCTGTTTGAAGTCACCTGTCATATAACTCTGAATATACTAAGCATTTCTACTTAAATACTGTAAATATAAATGTAATTGTAAACAT